CAGGCCACTAATTCGCCAAGTTCAGGCACCTTCAGCCATGGGAAACTTTGAGGGCGCGTAATCTGCGGCTGTAACGTGGGAGAAATCGTATACACCAGTCGGCCGTCCGCTGGGATGATCACCATATATTACGGATATAGCACCTGATTCGTGCTCAGTACAGAGGCTGCCATCTAGAATACATCCTTGAAGCAGTTGATGATATCTGCCAGTTGTCTACAAGGCCATGCCGCCCGGCCCTGTAGCTGCCTGCGACGGAGCAGGTCCGACGATTCCCTGCTCAGCGAGAGCATAGTCTCGGGGTCATGGACTGATAGGGAATGCAACATGCAGCGTCCGGGGAACTCCATTATACAAAGTGTACGGTCCCTCCAATATAGATATTGATCCGGGAGGTCAAGGCGCACAAAGGCTCGGGTAATGGGGTCTCATATGCACAGGTTCGTCCGAGCCGGGAGTTGCAAAGCGGCCGTATCTAATGAATGCTGTGCCAGTATGACATGTTCACGCAGCCTACCTCCCAGAGCTGCATCCCATTTTCACCATGTGTTATCCGGTGCAGAGATTTGAGCAGCAGTGACTGTTGTGGCTGAGTCCGCTTTCAACACTGTTACTACATCTTTGAAACGTTGCCTCCAGGACAACCGTGCTAATCCAAGAATGGGTTGTGCAATATAATCAACGTTGGTGGATAATCGACCTCAAGGTGGTGCTGGTCGACCTGGTCTGCGCTTGAGAAGCATACATGAGGCACATGGCGCTTGACAGCCACAAATTTCCCAACATGTACACAAGCTTGTGGCCTGCCAAACTTGGCGATGTTTCCATTGAGCATAGTGCTCTTTCACATTCTCTTTCTCGAAAGCCGCGTGGTAGCTCTATCGGTTAGCTTTGAATGTATAGCCTGGTCACTAGCGATATTGAGAACTTAGACTCTTTGGGGTTGTTACGATTGCCCGACCAATTCTTTGTCATGTCACCACAAGAGACAGCACCTTTGACCCCCTCTTTTCTTTGGCAAGTCGGAGGCCAGAGCTCTGTTCAGCAGCACTGAAATCTGCTTGTTCAACAGGTTCGTTTCCGCAGTGGACCCTAGAAACGCCTAGTAAACGACATCGAAACGAGGTTTGTCTTCGGCTTAGTCAATGGTCTGCAGTGGGAATGTAAGCAATACCCGCAAGGCTGGCAACGGGGGACGACAAAGGAAGTCCGTATAGAGGCCAATCACAGCCTGCAATGTTGCTGAATGATACGTTAAACCAATCGCATTGTACAAAACTACCATCCTTACTGGCTCGCGGTCTCTGTTTTCCGAAGCTCCAGTTGTCAACTTTTCGGGCAGGTGGTGGCACCGTCCGGACCCAGAGAGCTTCCAAACAGAGCAAGGGAAGGGCAAAGCGAGGCTGGCGAAGACTCCGCATTCGCTTATACTGGACGGTTGCATTCGATGGCTTTTCAGTACCTCGTACAACAATATATGTCCTTCTCCTGCCCTGTAAGTGACTGCCCTCTCCAGAGAAAATGCGGGTTGAGGCCACAGATACCGAAATTGTGGGTAACTTAGTGGTAGATCCTATCGATCCATTGCACGACTAGACCGCTGGAACATTGAGCAAAATGACAAATCGCCCGTTCGAACACACGGCTCATAGACAAATCCCCGTCGACTGTGAAGTCGTGGGAATGTGCGGCACAACGTCCCGAGACCAGCTTCTGCAACCGTATCATTGACATCTATATCGTGGTGGAAACGTCGCCAAAGCTGTTCAGGTGGCTTTGTGAATGCTCCCCTGTCACGATACCACCCAGTCCTTGCCGAGGATGGAAACTGTATTGGGTGGACTCCCGACTGAATCGAACCCAGTTAGGCAAAAGGGTTTCTTGATTGCGCATCTCATGGCACTTATGGTGTCACGTCGTTGCTTTGAACATGTCATTGAAGGTTCCGTGCACCGACAGCACATTCGCCCAGGCTGAGACGAGTGAAGCATGAGACACTGCGGACGAGTTATTTCTCGATGCTCGGCATCTGCAAAGGGTGAATGTGTCAGTTCGGACGATGTCGTCGTGGCCACGGGGGCCTGGCTCACTCCAGGGTGCAGCGGTGGGTATTGCGGCTGGCTCGTGGCTGATCTGCTCGCGTTCGTGAAACAGCATTCACCATCCACGGGAACTTCTGCTTCGATGAAATGTTCTTGACCGACACTTCGCAAGCCTCGATGATAGCCATATACGCCCGTCAATATTGGGTACATGTTAACGTGAGGAACAATGGTTTCCTTCTCGAGTATCAATTCGCCGGTGCTGCGCCGACACTCCTTCCGTCATACTGCGCCCACCTCATGAAGACCAGAACGCGGACAAAAAAGTCTAACTGTTCATACACATCAGGTTATCTGCAGCTAACATCTGCAATTCAAAGATCGTCTTACGAAAGACGCAAGCTCCCTTACATAACGAGTGCTGCAGGGGAAAATTGCTTGTTATCAAAGCATTGGCGAATCGTTTCGAGGGCCCGCACGCTCCGTCGCCGCTAGCACAGAGATCTTTGGTCGAGGAAGGACGGGAAGGCATCGAAGGGTTTGCGGAACCTCCGAGCTCGAAGAGGGAGGCCACTTGAGAGTGGAGGCTAGTTCTATGCTTCGAATGGAAGTTGTGCCGTTCTGTAAAGGGTAATTAGGCTTGACGAGACTCCTTATCAACAGTCGCTGCGAAGATCTGGGTCCGTTTCACGAGAATTGTTCCTTCTAGTCGATTACGACAGCTCTCGGTTGGCATCTCGGTTGGCATTTCGGTGTGCATGGCTGGCATGATTGACGCATAGCCCATGAGGTAAGCTTTGTTGGTGACTTATCATGCTGTTCTGGCAAGTGGCCCAAGTTTGTCAAGGAATCATTTGCACTGTTGGTCCCCAGGTCTTAAGCGGAAACCCTGACGGAGTGGCCGCAGTTGTCCGGGTGCTTGTTTAGCCATACAGGACCTCACACACACCACCAATGGGCACATCCATAACCGCATCCGTTCCTTCGTTCCAAGCAAGCCTCCAATTTGGGTGCGTTGCGTAGGCCTCTTGCGTCCCATACACGTGTTGGTTTCGAACTGAAGGCGCAGTTGTCGGGATGAAAGGATAAACCGAAGGATGACTAGGAGCATATGCCGCATATCGACCTTCAGAAAGGGGAAACGGTGCGGAGCGAGAAGTCCGCGAGAATTGGTCGTCCCATGCTCGAATGTCTGATGGTGATGAGTGTTCGATATTGGCTCGGGAGGACTTTCGCTTTCCTTTCTCCTTTGATCGATGAGCCCCATCAACTCCAGTTTTGGAAGATTTCTTCCCTCTCCCACTCTTTACTCTTGCGCTATCCATATCTCGTTCAAGCCTGACCCGCTCTTCTAGCTCCTTCATCAGTCTTTTACTCCCCCCTTTCCTAATTCGCCCGGATTCATCGAGGACAGCAACATTTGTAGTGGCATCGACCATGCATTCTAGGCTCGTCAACGGGAGAGTGAGATATTCGACGTTGTAACTCAAGAGAGCAACATATATGAAGATAAGAAGCATGACAATCCAGGCAGGTATGGCGAGAGACCACCATCTATTCGGATAATAGGTGATCCCTAGAGCGTGGAGGAAGGGAGATGGGAGATACGACCAGAGAATGTAGATTAGAAAGGCGAGTGTCGAAGCCAAGTACAAAACAAAGCCATAGTACTCGTACGTCGGGACTTTGGGTGATGTTGGCGGAACTGGGTGTGCGCGCCGAGCTGAGTGTGCTACGGCTGCTTCAGTATCGTTTGGGGTCTCCACATCGGAACTGTCAGGTGTGGTTGGCCGGGTTGAGGCAGTTGAGCGATTGAGCAGAGAGGGAGGACGGAGCAGAGAAGTTAGGCTGGGCGAAGGCGGTAGGGGAGTTGGCGGACGATTATAGAATGGAGGGTAGAGCGGAGGAGGTGGTGGAGGCGGAAGAGCTGTCGTTGACTGCGAGGTGTGTAATCCGTCTCCTTGGTGCTGTGGTTGAGAATGCCCTGAGGTCTGTGAAAGCGTGGGTCGAGCTGGCAATGAACGCACCCGAGATAATGATTCTGGTCTCTCTGACGACGATGCTAAATGCGCTCCTGGTCCTGTAGCACCGTCATGAGCCTGTTGTGAGACTTCTGTGTCCAAGGTCTCTTCAGAGAAGACTTCTCCTTCGTCTTCTTCATCCTCTTCCTCCGAAGTCTCCTGACGAGAGTAGTGAGACTCGAAATCATCGTCGTCTAATGTCACCCCTGCCACATCAAGCTCCGAACCGTCTTGTTCGTCTCTACGCTCTTCCGAGGGTGAAGTTCTTCCGCTAGGGTCACACGCATCATTGTCCTCGTCTTCGCTCCCCTTCTTATCTTCGCCACCGAGCTCGAATGCGGTTGCGGCCCGGGACCGCTGAGGGCTTGGTGTTGGCGTCGAAAAATCACGTTCCGGGGTGATCATACGAGGTCCTGTAGGAGTGCGTTGATCACTGGGAATTAACGCTGTTGGAGAAGGTAGGTTTTCCAGGTACGGCCGCAGGGTGGGAGGGAGTGATTCCGATTTCGAGAACGGACGAGGGCCTAGAGCAGGCGAGCTACCTCTGCTTTGGGGAGGCATCTCTGAATCTTAATCGAAAGGGAAGGTCGCTGGCCAAAGTGGACGCGTCGAAGAGGGACATGGACGAAGCAGGACGATCTCAAGTTGGCAAGGTTGTTAGTCACGTGATTATTTGGGACGAGGCTGCATCTCGTGGAAGCGACTAAACTGTCCTGTACATCAAGGAAGATAGACTGACTCAATAGTTCGAACTGATATATTTCCATCCTTGCCGCGGAGGCAATGATATTCCGAGGGTCCCAATACCATTTAATAACCCTATACTTTTGTACAATTTCGCTAATAAAACCCAACTCATAACGTCATCAAAGAGTATGATCACTCTCGTTCCTGGTAAATATTTGACACCCAATATCTTCTCAAAATGGGAATCCTGTCACCTTTGGGCGAATCCTTCGATACTCCGCAGACCTAGCCCTATATGACCTCCACTACTCATGACCCTGGTCGAAGTGAATGAGCCTGCACTACTTTTCCCAGTCCGAGGAGAAGGTAAGGGCGGAGTGGGGAATTGACCCAAATCAAATGGCTGTGGTTTCTTTGGGGTCATCAGACCTGGATTTGTTGGTACTGGAACATCGTGTTTGGTCGTAATCTTGCCCAATCCTTTGATGGCTTGTCCAATACTTTCACTTCGTCTCCGGAGTGCCGAGAAAGATTTTTTCCTCTGCATCGCTGGTCTAGTGGCGAACGGGTCAGAAGCTTCTTCGTCGGCTGGGGGAGTTGGGAGGGTTGGTAGAGCCGTCATGTTAGAGCCTGTGGGCCCCATCGTTGCGTGTGAAGTATTCTGAGAAGTGAGCGGGCGAGTAATCGAGGAGAGATTTCCCGAGCTCGTTGATGCGGCGGGGTTTTTCATCACATAATAAACGTCCGACCCAGGCGTACTCGCAGTGGAAGGTCTGCTCACATGACTTGAAGGCCGAGACGATGATCGCGTCTGTGGGAGAGGCGTCGTCGCAGTCGTAGGCGTTTTGATGAAGCTTTTGATACTGCTCATGCGTGCGTGGCTCAGTGCAGTCGACAGCCGCGGCATACTGGACTTCCTATCGGCTTTTGACCTGGTCGACTCCTTCGTGGACAAGAGTAGCGATTCCTGGCTAGCATTGGCGATGAGTTCGAAAGCATTGGCGGGAAGGTTGGGAACTTCGACGAGAGTAGCTTCCGCCGCAGGGAACCCAGAACGCACACTACTCATCGACTGGCGCTTCAATGGTCGATCCGACGTTTGAGCCACAGTCTGCGACAGAGGGCTCTGCATCGAGGCCGTCCTTCGTTTGCCTCGGTGGGTGATGCTGACTATGGATATCAGTGAAGGTCGGGATTTGGGCTGCTGGTAGGATATCGGCGTGGCTGTTTCAATTGGGGAGAAGGTTTCCTCATTGTCGAACTCAGGGCTGAGGGCTTCGAATAGTGGAGAGTCGAGGACTGCCGAATAGCGGTCGTATCGGAAGTCGGACCAGGAAGCCAGGGAAGCTTGGACAACAGGCTTCGGAGAAGGTGGCACGATAACACGAACCTCGTCGACCTCCATCTGTTGAAGGACCTCCTCCTCATCTGGTATCTGTATTTTGAGACCTGCCACCTGCAGTGGCCCGGGTGAGGGTGGTTTTCCAAAGGGAGCTCTGTTCAAGGCCATGTCGTCCGGGGTCAAAACGCTCCTCTCCGAAGGTGTCTCGACAGATGACTCTCGATTAAAGCGCTCAGCGTCCATGTCGACTTCATCTGCAGAACTGTCTCCGTCAAGGCCATGCGCGGGGTCGGACACATGTTCCGCCATATGGTCATACATCAAAATCCTCCTCTTGTGTTCAGCCAGCTTCTCTCGATCTAGAGCCTGTTGCTGCTGTCGTTCTTGGAACTTTTTCCTCCGAGCAGAGGCAGAGCTCATCTTTCGGGCTTTGAGGACCTGGTCCATGGCGACGGTGGAGGGAGCGAGACTGGTAGACGGTGTAGAGAGATCCGAGGATGACGGGAACGAAATTTTGTGCGAAATCATGCGTGGAACAACGGCCAGCGAAATCTGGAGAAATCGGACGGGGTTACAGAGGATGCCTGGCTGCTGGACGCAACTGTCACCTGGAACTCTAAAAGTAGCAGGATCCGTTTGAAGGCACTGAGGCTGCGACAGGGTTTTCAAATGGAACGGGGGCAACCCGGACACGCAGATCGGGCCATGACACAGGACAGCGGCAGGCTTTCGAGCCTCGCCAGCTTGAAGCGAACAAAAAGGACAAGTGTACGCCACGAAAGGGCACTCGGACAGAAAATGAGAGCGGCCGACCAGGATTTTGACGAGAAACCAAAATGGCCGACCCAGTAAAGAGGGTTAGATGCTACCTGATTGAGGTAAGAGACAACTTTATCTCGCAGACGACAAAGCCGGAGAAGAAGGGATAGCGACGATCAGGTACTTCTAGCGAGAGTAAGATTGCAGGAAGCTTGACTGTGAGTCCGCAGTCCAGCACGAGCTAGGTTGATGAAGGGACCTAGCCCTCGGGGGTTTTTTGATGAAGTCTGTTAGAGGTTACTGCAAGTTCGAGGGGAAGTGGAGTAGGCGGGAAGTCTGGTTTGAGGACCAACGTTTCATTGCTGGCACACACTGCAACGAATATGTGGGCTCTGGAGTTTGTCTAGCGTCAACGACCCACGGAGACCTGCCGAACTTACAAAAGTAGGCCGAAACCCAGCAGCAAGCGGTATTGGTGTTTTTATTTTTCCATAACCGTTCTCATGTGCAGGTATCATATCCTTGTCCATGATGGATCGGTGTTTTGACGTCTTGATATTGACCGTCCAATTGAGAATGTGGAGAGTGGATGGCGGCATGCGCCCAGTGATCGGGCCCTTCGCTTAGCAAGGAGAAAAAACGTCAACAGGCAATCAAGATGGGCTTAGTCCTTGTACGTACAAGTACACCATCAGCACCCATTCTGGGTAAAGCTCCAGGTACCAGGCCCAGACGCCTGAGCTCGGTTGCATTGGAGCGGTGGCCGAGAAGGTCAAGGCGTCCCAGAGCTAAACTAGAGTTGTGCATCTTGTTCGCAACAGGTGAGGGTTGACGTGACGAGGCTTGAGCAGGATCCAACCAACGGCGGCTATGGGCGCCAAAGGCACACAGTAGGTAAATACTCCGTAGTATATCGAGGTTATGTTTTTTTTGTCTTCTGTCCACCAGCAGCCATGTAGTCCACTCTCTTGCATAAGGTCTTGGGCCATGGAACGGCTTTCGCGCAGAAAACGGACGGAGGAGAAAATTGTGGGATTCATGATCAAACACGTGCCCTGCCGTCTTGTCTCGACCCAAGTCTGACAGTGGGAGCTTGTTCTCATGGTTGGCTGCAGTCTCAAACGCCACTTTACTGGGGTCCAGCCCCTTTGGATTTATCTTGAGGGAGGTCAGACGGCGGTGCGTGTGCTCGGGATTTGAGTGAGGTAGCCAATGCTGAGAGACTCCTCCCATGCAGATTCAAGCTTTGAATGGGTAGTGACTGATGTTGTAAACCGCTGTGCTTCGAAGTACACATGCACCAATGTGAAAGTTGCCTGTGGACCTAGTAGTAGAGAGATGATGGTGGAGGTCTCACACCAAAGAATGAAGTCAGTCATTTGAAACCCTTGAGTTGTGAAATTGGTGTGGAAGTGGCGTCATTTGACCTGTCAAGGACCTCCACCCCTCCCAACCCCTTTTCCCACAGCTCAGCTCAGATCGTTGCCATTTCCACTGCAAGCTCCTGGAGATTGGACACAGTACCTTGTAACTCGCCCTTGTCCTGGAGGTCACCAGCTCCATTGTAGACAAGTCGCCTGTCTACCGAGTACAAGCGCGGGAATTACGAAGTCCGCATAACCGGGGTTGGTGCCTTGGATCATACGAAGTGGCAGCCCGTCGTGGGAGACGAGAGACAATTACCCCGTACTACTACACCGCTGCTCTGTCAGTCTCGCTTGCACGGACATTTGCATCACTACTGGTATATAAATACTCTGTCTTACCCTGAAGTGCCCGGCGTCATGTAAGGTCTGTCGATCACTTAAGCGGCAGCACGGCGCAAGAAGTTGGGTTGGAAGCTCTTGTGTTTGGTACAAAGCTGCACACACCGCCTGCACTATGTGATCGTCAGGTATCGGAATGTGCCCAATCCCTCTCAAGGGCATAAGTTGGGAATGAATATCCTTTGGAGCTCGCCGAGAGGAGACTGGTCGCACCAGTCTGACGGCCCCGATCAGATGTTGAGGCCTGGGCATCTCACAGTCCCCACCCAACCTCGCCCACCAATTCCTGTTGATGGCAAGCGTGCACACCTGCGAAGTACTGGGTACAAAGGGCTCAGTGGCGAGTTGCCTTCCACTCTGCCATCCAGCCTTGGGCCGCTTCTACGATTTGCCTCTGTGCGTTGGCCACTGGAGCGGGTGGCAGGCTTGGTGTTGTCTCATTGGGAAACTTCAGGATAGAAAGAGTCAGCGCATGTTCACCATGGCAAAGACTACTAGCCCGACATCTAGGTCGGGATCGCCATTGGGAAGACTCACCAAACCATTTTCATCCCAGTGATGCACTGCTCCTTGAATTAAAATGACAGGTTCGCTCGGCGTGCTTGTTTGGTTAAGGACGTCAGGCTGAGATAAGGTCGCTAACGCTGTCGCGGGCCGCCAGGGGTCGGCCTCTCCTCCTATGGTTGCAAGTCTGGGATAGGAGATGTTGAAGCCGCCATATTTATTGACAGCATTGACATCAGGCGGCGTAGTAATGTTGAATGCATACCGGCAAACTTGCGTAAGATATTTGACGGTCAGGAGACGGGATATGAGAGGAAGGCGGTCATGAGGGACACTTGCTCCGTCTTGAATATAGCCCCATTCCTTGCAGTATTGATACGGCCATGACAGTGCATTGTAGTTGGTAATGTTCTTATCGGTATACATGGGCGCCGATTCATTGTGAGTACCATAGCATTCATCGAACGTACTGTCGCATGACCCAGCATAGCTATCGTTGGTCCATGCCAGCCAGTTGAGCAGAGGGTTTAGCAGTTGTGCGCTCTCATTGGCCCATCCGCCCGCTTCTATCAGCGCTGTGGCATTGTCCTTCATAGAAGCAGAGCTAGGCCAGAGAAGAGTGTCGGAGCTGATATTGCCGCAATAGTAGCTGAATTCCGGACTGTTGACCTCTGGGTCCCAGTTTGTCGACTGCCACCAGCCAATTCCGCTCGACACGAGATTCGCCAGATCATCGTTGTGCGTAAGGGTCTGCATACCGAGGCCTTTCTTAAGCTGTGCAACAGTCTTTGCGTCATTCTTTTGGAGGATGTTATCCATGATATTGATCAACTTCGTTTGTGCCGCGATACATGCAGGTGGACCGTACTGGCGAACCGGTTCATAGTACGCCCAATAATCATAGATGGCTTTCGTAACTCCTGACGACGAAATTGCGCCCCAGTAGATCTCAGGGTATAGCTTGCGCAAGAATGCAACGATTCCACCAGAGTATGAGCCTCCATAGGCTAGGTAGGGCGTGCCGGGGGCCGTTAAGTTGAGATTTTCCATCCCCGGAAAAACGATGTGTGAGGCAAAGTAGGCTTGGTCAGCTACGGCTTGGTCTGTGGACAGAAACCGCAAATTCTTGGTCGACAGGTCAGGTGTAGGAAAGCTTTTCCCATAATATCTGTGCTCCAAGACCACGCCGATGCCATTTAGAGCCGACGCAAGCTGGTACACGATTCCTTTCTGCAAGTACGGTAGGCGCTCGCTGGCATCTGCCTCTCCGCTTTGTAAGACTATTACAGGTCCCCCGGGCTTGTAATATGTTGCGTCGAAAAAGTACCGCAGCTTGAAGGTTTTATTGGAATGCGGCTCGTATCGGGATTCATTGTGGAAGTGGTCTACAGGCATAGAAATGTAGTGTTCCGGGTACAGTTCCGTTGGGTCAACATCCTGCCGTGCTGTCAACCTGTGGGGTGCAGGCGCAAGATTTCTGCGTGATGTTAGGCAATCTTTTGAAGCTAGTCAGACAACCTACCTCGCCTGTCCAAGCCCAGTGAGGGTGGCTGTTAGGAGAGCATATAAGAGCCTCATCTTGCATGAATGGAGAACGCAATGAGAATCAGAAATGAAAGGGACAGAAGGTAGAGAAATAAAACAAGACAATCAGCTGGCAGGAAGCTGTCTTTCACACACTCATGTGTCTTGCGCAACCAACCTGTTTTTTTGCCGCTGAACGTAACAGTTGCAGCGATCCACAAGCTCTTTAACCCCGCATGTGGAAGGTATGACACCTTAACGGCAACGCGTGGAAGTCGTTATCGGGAAGCTTCAGAAGCTTGTTGGCCATGATGTTATGACAATGCAACGTTGATGCGGGCGCAGGGCAGCAGCCTATAACCCAAGGGGAAGGTGTGCAAGTGATCGTCAAGCAACATACACAAGACAACCAATGTGAATGTGGACGAAGGAATGGACGCAGATCCAGGTCAAGCTGGACAGCGACCTCAGCTGACACTGATTGGAGATAAGGATAACAAGCACCTCGGTAGCGCAACAAGCTCGTCAGATCTCCCGGCCACCCGCGCACATGTTCCGCAGCAGGGGTTGTGATGCAGGTTGTTGCCGAGCCAATATGTACTTTTTCAGGACCATTGCATAGCAAATCTGCAGAGATGAAATGCGAACGAATCGGGCCTCGAACGGATATCGTAAAGAGACGAAGACATTTGTATTGCTTGCGTTGATAAGGAACTGTAGCACTGAACGGGATGTCGGGGGGAGGAAGTAAGCAGGGAATATCGGCCTTGCAACGGTGGACTTTCGCCAGAATAAATCACAGGAAGGTAGTACTTGATCGGGCCCGAGCCACTCGAAGGGGCGACAGACACGAACTGCAACATGCTGTCTGTACCTCGTCGTTGAATTTTCACT